GGCTAGCGTAGAGCTGCCCCTGGGATTTGGGAGGGTCTCAATCTTTAGGGGAGCGGGCAGGCCCATCTCATTCCCCGCAGCGGCTAGAGGGTTAGAACCATCGACCTTGCAGTTACCAGCCCAAAGGCTGTAATATTCCAGATGAGCAAACTGAGGTTCAAAACGAAGTAATTTGCTCAAGACTGTGCAGCTTGCTAGCAACCAGCAGGACAGACACCCAAAACCTGGCCTGAAAGTCCCCGCGCGACCTAAAAACCACGTGTTCAGAGCCCGGCTCAAGAACTCCAGCTCCCAGCGTCCCTCGCCGCCCGCTTACTGACCCAGAATTCCAGGCGGCGCGGGCGAACACAAGTGCTGAGCGGGACAGGGGAGTCCCGGGGCGGGGCGGCGACGGCGTGCCTGTGGCTCGGCCGGAAGTTCCCGTGAGTCTTTGCCAACCACCCCCTCCCTCTTGTGAGAAGTGGAACATCCCAACTCCTTAAGTTGCGGAGGCGCGGCGGGCGCTGTCTCTTCGCCGTCGTGATGGAGGTGAGTTGGGTCCTGCCGTTTGTCCCCAGACCGGGAGCACCGGCTTTAGTTTCGGGAAGGATTGTTCGGAAGGTTATCTTCGGGGGGGGGCGGTTGGTAAAGGGGTGTTCCTCTGACCCCTGTTCTCGGTGGGCCTCCGTGCGTGTCCCGCGGGCGAAACGCATGCGGCTTGTGTATTTCACAGGGTGATCGCAGACGCGGCCTAAGACCCCCGAAGGCCCCGACCCCGTGCCTCTGGGCCGCGGTGGAGCATGCGGAAACCGGGGAGCTGGGTGAGTAGGGCTCCGCCTCGCAGGGTGGGCAGTGAGCCCGTGAGAACTGGCTGCGTGACTGGCCTGATGATATTGGTAATAGGAAGTGCCGTCAGACGCGATAACTGACGATGTCTGTACCTGCCTGACCACGGTCGCGGAGACGTGGGGTCGGTGGATTCGAATTGCCCAGGTGTGTCGTGGCCATAACCTTATTTCTCTTTCCGTTCAAGGTGACAGGCCCGCTGTGGAGCGCTGAAGACCGGAGCAGCTCGCCATGAGGTAAGCAATCGCGTTTGGTTCGATGGGATAGCTACACTGTTTAACTTCCTTTTAGCTTTAAAAATGCTAAGACAGTGGGACTGACCTTGAATTGGGATTTTGACACTAATAAGTCATTGGGTAGTACAGACCCTTACAGGCGTCTTGAGTCGAAAGCTAAATATCTGGTGGCTCAACGTGGCTGAGCTGGTAGTATTGGAAATGAAGTGAAATTGATATAGTCCAGACTTCCTGTATGCGTAATTTTTAAGGTGACCAGACGTCCCAGTTTTTAACAATTTTCCCGCCCCCCCCCACCCCCCAGGGTATATACTGTTTTCGGCTGCCATGTGGCTATTTCGCCAGGATATGAGTTTTATCAATGGTGTCCCGCTTTACCGATGCTAACATCTGGTCACCTTAATAATTTTGTTACTGGTCCTCAGATCAGTTGATCTGAGTGATCTATTTATGCTCACCCGGGTTAAACGTTGGAGGGAGGGTTGGCGGCAAAGCAGAATGCTGCCGCCTGTGGAGGGGAAGGGCCTAAAGTAAGGCAAGTCCGAACTTGTGTGAACTTGGCTTTTCACACAAAGGAGCCATTGTAGTCCCGATTTGTGTTGAGGGGTTGGCCACCTAGCAAGATCTGGAGCATGTAAACAGAAGGGGTGCACCTATTCTGCTGTGGATAATCTTGAGCAGGTAGCTGAGGGGGCAGTTTTCCTCATCCCAAGATCACCCCATTTTAAATCAAGTGAGATGGCCGAATGGAAGTCGAAACTTCCAAAGAATTGGGACTTGTTTGACTTAAGATGACCAGAAAGGCAATTTCATTAAGTGGGCTTTTCATTGGTAGTGAGGCTGTCGTCAGAAGTGCTCTCTGGTTTGTGTTGTGTGTCCTCTGAGGTGTGTCGCATTCCCCAGGTTTTGACAACTGAACGCTGCAGAATAGGACCTTCAGAGGTGGCAGCCCCAGCTCAACGTGAAAGGTAAGCCTCTGTCCTGGACAACTTAACCACACAAAAGGATATCATGTGATGAAATAACCTGAAATAGCTGGAATTACCGGCAGATGGTATGGTGGTGAGTCTGGTTTTCTGAAGATATCTCACGCTATGGGGTGACTGTTGGCTAAGGTGGGAAGTGAGATGACCGACCGTCCAGTTTCTTTACAGGTCACCGGAAGCAGAGGCAGAATCTGAGTCCAGGATGGTGGGGCCACTGAACGTGGACAGAAGCTCGTTGATTATCCATGTTCAAGAGATGTAACTGGCTGCTCTTCCAGGACAAGCAACTTTGGTGTTAACAGCATTGTCCCGTCAAGCCCCAGAGGCATTTTACATTCTAACATTTGGCTTTGTTCAAGTTCTTAAAAGAAGCTGTAAATCCCAATTTACTTTAAATGCACCGACTCAATTATAAAGGATTCTCTTTGGTACTGATTCTTAGAAACATGTATTTGTGAATAAAAAGATTTAAGTTTGACACAAGCTGTGGTCATCAGTCTTAGCTTTTATCCCTCTTGGTGACTTTCCAAGAGTAAGGCATCTCCAGTTCTGGGTGGTCTTTGCATAGCTCCTGAAGTCTCAGTGCAGACATGGGTCCTGGGGCTCCAGCAGCGTCCTGTGTTGTCAAACCTTGGCTTAGCTGCTTGGGGTTCCCCTCCATGTGCTTGTTCACCAACCTCTTATTTAAGGGAATTCTCATCATAGATCTTGAGCTTCTAGTTGAAAATGTATTAACCTGGGATGGGATATTTTGGGAAATTACAAATGCCCAGGGACAAGTGGGTGAGGCCAATTCTAGTAGGTGTTCTGGGCTGCCTGTAGGCTGGATTGGTTGTTAGAAACAAGTTGAAGGGTGGGTCCCAAAATGAAGGCCCAGGTGCCTTTAGAATGGAGTTTGGGGGGGGAAGTCTATTTCTTAACTCAGCAGGGCTTGGTAAAAGATAAATGGAGTCTAAAGAGCATATTTAATGCTGGTCTTGGAGCCCTGACAACCAATATTTAATGATTGCTCAGTTATGCACATTGGCTCAAGTTTAAGGGCACTGATTTGAGATCTGGAGGTGCCACAAATCAGTGCTCATATTTTGGGGTGAGTGGTACCCTTCCCCTGAGCCAGTGATGTCTCCTCTGGACTTTTGGTGGGTGGCACGGAATGTGGGGTTCTGGCTCTCTTAAGGCCTGCCCAGGTTAAATGAGGTGTAGATTTAACCCCTGCCACCTGCAGCCAAATGCTACTCCATGAGAACGCCCCTCAGGTCTGAACTACAGTTGTAGGCTCCCTGTTCTCCCTGTGGTCTTTGGCAGGCATCAGAGGACCCCCTCCAGGGTCCTCCTGCGTCCCATCCCTGGCTTCTTCCCCACTGCCTGGCCCCTCTCCCAGTTCCAGGATAGTGGGCAGGTGGCCTTGCTTGGGGGAGCGCTTGCGCAGACTGAGCAGGAAGGGCTGAGGCAGCGAGAAGATGTCCACATTGTTGCCCAGGTCTATCCACGTGACATTGGGGAACTTGCTGGGGTCTTTGAGAGCCTCAGTGAGGTCCCGCAGCAGGGCCCTGGTCAGCCGGTTACCATTGAGTGCCAGTGTGGTGAGGCGGGGCAGTGTGCTCAGTGCAGGCAGCAGCTGTAGGACCATGTCGTCCGTTAGGCCTGTGAAGCCCAGCTCCACGCTGTCCACCTCCTCTCCGCACCGCTGCAGGTAGCTGGTGACTCGCTCCAAGTCACGGGAGGTCAAGGGGATGCCCGACAGGTCCACTGTATTGTCTGGAGGGCTGCCAGCCAGGACAACCTTGAGGCTAAAGGAGACAAGGAACAAGCAGAGGGTCAACTAAGTACGGCCTCTTTTCCTTAGAAGCAGTTGTGGATCTTCAGAATCCATTTTAATAAAATGATCAAACTGCAGTACAGCTAGGGAGAAAGCAAAGACCTTCCCTCCTCCATCTGCTGGAGTTTCTCCAGCTGCCCTGGGCCTGCCAGTCTGGTGGGCAGGAGACAGGTGTTTCCTGCTGGCCAAGATTTACACATTAACTCCTGCCTACTTGTGTAACCTTTAGTGAGTTAACCTCACTTCCTGAACTATATGGGACTACACAGCAGTAGATGGCTTAAGTAAATCATTGTGTTGACTGCTGTCCTTAATAATGTGGGCTGAACGTCCCGTTTCTGCCACCCACCCCTAGGTGTCAGTTGAGCTATCCCTAAGATTGGTAAGAAGACAGGTTTCCTCAAGGCCACCTTTTCCTCTCCAGAGTGGGACCCTCTTGGACAACCTTGTAGAACTGCAGGCAGGGGAGGGAGGGTTCAGGGCCGGACTCCATGACTGGTGGGCATGCTGGGTCCTGGAGGCAGTGTGCTCTCTACTCCCCCCTTCCACTTAGCTCCCCTAGTGCCCAGAGTGAGTGTGTCCCTTCCCTCACCCTTTAGGCTGGCTCTGAGGTCAAGGTCATTGATGCCCATTTCTCCCTTCTCCAGGTGCTTCAGGTTAGTCCTGAGGACCCCACTCAGAAGCAGAGGGAAAGGAAGAAAGCTCCCCCCCCACACACACACACCAGTTCTTCAAAGGCACGTGTAAATCAGCAGCCAAGGGGCACCCCTTAGATTTTTTTTGTCACCAAAAGTAGGCAGGTCCCTATCCTTGGGGGTCTCCAAAGCTGGAAGATCATACCAAAGTTCCCTCATCTTGCCTGATTGGGGGCCCAGCCCCAGGGAGTTTGAATATAAAGTTCGCAAGGCAAGGTAAGTTCAAGTCTTGGACCACTACTTGGCACTGTTCATTGTTGGCTGCAATCATTGTCTATGATGTTAGCAAAGCAGCCCCTCCCAGGCAGAGACGGGAACTACTACTACCTTGGCAGTTAACAGCTTGGAGGAGAGTTTTGGGGTTGAATCTAGCTGCCATTACTTCCCGCTGGGAAGGGAGTGGGGGTAGGAGTGTGTCCCTCCAGTAGGAGGGAGGAAGCTGAGCACTGTCTTCGGTAGGAAGGACCCAGCTCCCGTCTAGGTCTGCAGGGGCTGGAAGGAAGAGCCTTTCGCTGCCAGGGAACCCTTCAGGTGGCCTCTCCAGGGCAAGAAAGCAGGGGTCCTTCCTTTCAGGCTCCTACCCTCCTTTCCTTTGGGGCTGTCCTGGCCCATAGGCTCTGTCCCATGCCATCTCCCTGTCCCCAATTCTTCAATCTCCTCTGAGGCAGTCTCCCAAGCTAACCCCTCAGTTCCAGTCTCTGGAATGGGCTGTGTACCACACAGCGTGGCTCAGGCACACCTTGGGCAGGCCTGCCCCTGCCCCTAGGAAGTGCGCACACTCACCAGGCTTGTGGCTTCCTCTTGCCCAGCCCCCGATGCCGCCTCCACTGGGAGTGGGGGCTGAGGTGGTATGTCAGCTGCCGGCACAGCTTCTCCATGGCGCCCAGTGCATCGCCTTCCTACAGAAGCAACCACAGGATCAGGTTCCTGAGCCAGGGACAGAGCTGCCAAACCACCTGTAGCCTCCCTGGCCCGCAAAGGCGCCTGTGGCCGCACTGAGAACACAGCAGAGGGCTGTGGCTGCAAGGTCAACGGGCAGTGTTTCTGTGAATGGCGATCGATCGACTCAGTATGGATTCTTTGGAGGTAAAAAACAAACCAGGAGATCTGACGACGATGGGTTGGAGCTGGGTAGGGGTCAGCATGTCCCAGTCACTCTCAGGGCCCAGAGCTAAGCATTTACTCAAAACACACTTCCCGAGGACTAGTGCCAGGCTGGGGCTCTAGCCATGAACAAATGTTCTTATGTGTACATTTTACGTAAAGAGGAAAGTGAAACATTTTTATCTACGTCTCTCAAAAGCAAGAGAACAAAAGTGGAGACCAGTCTTTTGTAGCTATATTTATTCGCCTGTGTTGGCATTTGTGATTGAGACCCTGGGGAGCAGGGTACTAGAGCGGTTCTAGTTCCCTCTCAAGGGATGTCAACAAACAGGTATTGAGTGGGTGTCAAGTGGTTGGGTGCATGCTAGTGTGATTATACCCTATGATAAAGTGGCATATATCTTCTTGGAATGCAAGGTGAATGTAACGTGAAAATCCATCATTGTGGTAATACCTGGTATTTACAGAATCAAAGGAAAAAGCATTACAATAGATAAAGTACTAGACAAAATTCACATTTTTTTATGATCAAAAGCACCTCCACAGACAAAACAAGATTAAGATCCACTCGGCAAACAAGGAATGGAAGTTAACTTCTTCAACATGATAAAGGGCAGAGATGAAAAACGCCCATGGCTAGAGTTATACTAATGGTGAAAGACAAAGCTTTCCTCCTAAGACAGAACAAGACAAAGCTCTGAACACTGCTTGCTATTCAGTATCACACCAAGTACAACAATATGATGCCAGAGCAACTAGGCAAAAAAAAAAAAGAAAGAAAAGGCATCCTAATTGGAAAGGAAGAAGTAAAAGTATTTGCATGAGACTACCTTATATATAGCACACACATGTACACAGCTATTCGAAAACAATCTCTGGCAGAATGCAAGATCAATATACAAACAATTTTTTCCAACAATTTTATTTCTATACAGTAGCAATGAACAAACAAAATGAAATGAAACAATTTAATTTACGATAGCATTTAAATATAAGATGCTCAAGAACAAATCAAAGAAATGTAAGAATTGTTCACTGAAAATTACAAAACATAGTTAGAGGAAATTAAAGACCTAAAGCTGAATGGAAAGCCATGCCATGTTCACGGCGAAGAATGGACATTGGTAAATTGGCAGTAGTCCCCACACAGATCTATAGATGCATACAATGCAATCTTTACTGAAACCTCAACTGCCTTTTTTGTAGAAATGGACAGGGGGCTCCTAAAACTTACATGGAAATGCAAGGGACCCTGAAAAGACAAAACACTCTTGAAAACAAGTATGAAACTGGAAGATTCACACTATGAACAAAACCTGTGATAAAGTGATTATGACTGTGAGGCACTAATACTGTTATTGTTAGCTGTGGTTCAGTTGACCCTCAGTCATGCACAATGGAAGGAAACTGTGATATTTGGGCTTTGTGTCAACTTGGGTAGGCCAAGATTCTCAAAGGTTTGGCAGTAGAAGCCTAGTAATCCCCCCATGATATAATGTAACATAACATGAT